AATGGAGCTGGATCCCATGGGAATGGAGCTGGATCCCACTGGATTCCGGAGGAACAGCCCCCCCTGTCCTGCACCTTTTCCTCCCAGGAATCCCAAACCTTCCAGCCTGGGCTGATCCCAGATTTGCAGAGATGGGATCCCACCAAATCCCTCAGGATGCCTCGGGATGAGCGGATCCCATCGATCCTTTGGGATGGTTGGATCCCACGGGATCCCGAGGGGGAAGCTCCTCCCTCCCCACCCCCTGTAATTCCCACCGGGAATCCCAAACCTTCCAGCCGGGAACGTCCCGCATGATCTTGGCCTCCTCCTCCAGGTTCTCCCGCAGCATCCGGAGAGTTCTGTGGGACAGAGGGCGTGGGAAGGGATCCCAATCCCAGAGGGGATCCCAAAGGGGGGATCCCAATCCCAAAGGGGGATCCCAATCCCAAAGGGGGGATCCCAATCCCAAAGGGGGGATCCCAATCCCAAAGGGGGATCCCAATCCCAAAGGGGGGATCCCAATCCCAAAGGGGGATCCCAATCCCAAAGGGGATCCCAAAGGGAATTCCCGTTCCCAAAGGGGGATCCCAATCCCAAAGGGAAGTTCCCAATCCCAAAGGGAATTCCCGTTCCCAAAGGAGGATCCCAATCCCAAAGGGAATTCCCAGTCCCAAAGGGGGGATCCCAATCCCAAAGGGGATCCCAAAGGGAAGTTCCTGTTCCCAAAGGGGGATCCCAATCCCAAAGGGAATTCCCGTTCCCAAAGGAGGATCCCAATCCCAAAGGGAAGTTCCCAATCCCAAAGGGAATTCCCAATCCCAAAGGGGGATCCCAATCCCAAAGGGAAGTTCCCAATCCCAAAGGGAATTCCCGTTCCCAAAGGGAATTCCCAATCCCAAAGGGAAGTTCCCAATCCCAAAGGGAAGTTCCCAATCCCAAAGGGAAGTTCCCAATCCCAAAGGGAATTCCCGTTCCCAAAGGGAATTCCCGTTCCCGAGGGAATTCCCGTACCTGCGGTCGGACTCCGCCTGCAGCAGCGGCATCAGCGCGATCCGAGCCTCGAGCTCCTCGATCAGCAACCGCCTGCAGGGAACCGGGAATGGGGGATTGGGAACTGGGAATGGGAACTGGGAATGGGGGATTGGGAACGGGAATGGGAACTGGGAATGGGGGATTGGGAACTGGGAATGGGAACTGGGAATGGGAACTGGGAATGGGAATTGGGAAAGGGGGAGGGGGATGGGGGGGGGGGC